TCTTTATGCTGATCGAGGGATTGCAGCAGACAGTGTTTAGTCAAATCATGCAGGGTTATAAACTTCATATTAAAGAAAGGTGGCTTTTGAGCTTTAGGAGAGATAAGAATGAAAGGACAGAAAAATCAAGGAAAACAGTTAGGAGCCTATTTTAAAAAGTAGATGATCCTAGGAGAAAATAATGAAGCTCATGAACCATAGCAACAGCAGTGAAAATGGGGAGGACAGATCTGAAATCCCTTACAGACCGCGAGTGTAATGGGCCAAAGAACAGGCAAGATGAGGAGGTTAGTGAGCGGGAGGAGCCCATGGTACTTTGACTTCATGTTTGAGTGCCTGAGGAGACAATGCTGAGTGAGGATGGAAAGTTTTCTATGGGAATATAATCATTGAAGGTAAGGACTTGTGTTGAAGTGAAGTGGAAGGTACAAGCAGAGATTTCCAATACATCTAAAGGCCAGATAGAGATGTAGGTCTCAGAATCATCACTTTCTGTGGAGGTATACGTTGTGAAGATGAACAATAAGATCATCCAAGCAGCAAGATAAGGAAACCCAAACAAAACCTAAAAGGTCATCTGCATTTAAGCAGTGCAATCTCTATGTACCTTCATCAATGCAATATTGTTTTAATGTATCTATTTTTGTTTTTATACTTTAAAATTTAATGTATCTACAACTAAGCATAAAAATCTAAGTAATCCCAGCAATAGAAATAGTAGCAAGTAAAACTAAAGTTACACTTACGTTGCACTCCACAGTTTACAAAATCCTTTCATTTAACACTGAGGCTGAATACTGTTTGAGGTGCTGGTGACACCTTACCAACCTTGACTTCCAGCCTCACTTCTGAAACCTTGGGCCCACGTTTCACGTGAATTTTATGCTAGTTAGCCATATGGAATTATCTAGCCCTCAAAACACTCCAGATAAGTGGGTTCCCATTCTCACTTTACAGATAAGAAAGTTGGGGGAATGAGTCATTGCCTACAGTTTAGCATCACTCTGGGCATGCTCCATTAAGTCAGTCATGAATTGATGTATGCTTTTATAACACATGTAACAATTTTCCCAGAACTTAGAAGCTTAGAATAATGGTACCTTTTATTAGACGTCTCACGCAGTTTATGTGAAGAACTCTGGAGTGGCTTTCTAGATGGTTCTGGATCTGGGTCTCCCGTGGAATTGCAGTCAATTGCAGTCCACTGAAAGCTTTACTAGGGCTAATGACTAGGTTGCTCATATACTTCTAAGTTCATTCTGGCTGCTGGCTGCTGACTGCTGACAGGCAGCCCCTGTTCCTCATTAGATATTGCCTGACAGCCTCAGTTCCATGCTACATCTACCTCTGCTGGGGTTGCTTGAGTGTCTTCATCCTATTATCTGACCTTTTCCAAAGAGATAGCAAGTGGATAGCAAAATGAAAGTCAAAAATGGCCCGTTCTTTCCACTGGGATCTTTTTTTAAAGACCTAAATGAAAGATCTCTACAAGTGAGATCCCAGTGGAAAGAATGGGCCATCAAAGAAGGAGGTACCTTTCTCTGAAGGGAGGAGAGAACTTCCACTTTGACTATGACCTTGTCTAAATAAGATCGAAGTCAGCGAACTCAAAAGGCTTCCATAGCCTTGGAAACTCATGACAAGAGCCTCGGGTGATTACTGACGCCATAAACAAGAGTGTCAATTTGTTAAGTCAACAACGGGAGTCACTGTGCACTTACACCTTATGTAGGATCTCTGTCCTTAATGTGTTGTACAATGTGAATTAATGCTGTAACTAGTACTCAAACAGTACTTTACACTTTGTGTTTCTGTGTGGGTGCAAACTGTTGAAATCTTTACTTAATATATGCTAAATTGATCTTCTGTATATAAAGATAATTGAGAATGAATCTTGATGTGAATGGAATGGGAGAGGGAGCGGGAGATGGGAGGGTTGCGGGTGGTAGGGAAGTTATGTGGGGGGAGAAGGCACTGTAATCTAAAAGTTGTACTTTGGAAATTTATATTTGTTAAATAAAAGTTAAAAAAAAAAGAAAGCCAAAAATGTTTAAGGCCCAACTGGAAAAAATCATTCTCTATCACCTCTGCAAATTCCTACTGGTTTATGCAAGTCTGTCTAAATTCAATATATGTGGGCACTACAAGGATATGACTGTCAGCAGAAGGGAAGATGGAATCATTGGGATGCTGTGGTTACTGCAGCATACTATATATCCCAGGTACATTCAACTTTCAGGATTTATGCCTCATTTCAATATGAGTTAAAGACTCTCTAAAGAAGTGTTTTCATCAAACATTTTATAATTCAAGGCTATTTTTTTAAATTCATGAAAATATTTGAAGCCTCTACTACTTCTAAATGTATAACCAAATTGTAAACAGAAGCTTTCTCATAGAAAACTTAAATGAAGAGGTGCCCCGTCATACTTGGTAATGAATGAGGCCTTTAAATGGACTACTCATGCCATTTGTCTGTTTGAACCATTGAAATAAATTGCATCAAACAAGTCCTCTGGAAATCACCCAAATGAATAAAATGGGCCATTAATCAGGGTGCCAGTTAAGTGAATTCTACACTTTTGGCAACTGCATGAGGGAAGATTATATATTTTCCATCTTACATTCTAGGGGCTTAATGGATGTGAAGTACTGGCAGGAAAACTTAGATAAGTGTTAGGGTAGCTTCAATGTGTTCCATAGTCTCACAGTAACTAGCTCCAGTTGTGAGTTTATAGACAGCAAGAAAAGTGACAGCCAGAAGGGTGGCCCTGACTTACTCATGCCAAACCAATTCTCTCTCCTCAATAGCATTATTTAAACACACCACTGCTCTAGTACAAAGTTTGTTATCTAAGTCTTAAACGCTACTTAAGTGTCCAATGCTTAACAGAACCTTAATTTTGCTATTGCCCTATCCAGCTCACGTGGACGCTGCCATATTTCATGAACAAGGAGCCATATCCTCAGCCTCCTCTTCCTCATCAATACTTACACCTCAGGTTGTCACAGACTGTCATGTGTTCCCCACCCTACCTCTGCTAAAACTGCTCTCTCACAATCTAGTGACAACTGTGTGGACTGCAATCCTGTCTCCTACTTCCTAAAACTTTATTTGTGTTGTATGTCTCTGCACTCTGTTGATCTCCCTGGAATTCTGCTTCTTGTCTTCGTATGGTCCCATCTCACAACATGGAAACAGTGTCTTGCTGGTCTTGGTTGGTGTCCTCAGCCCATTCCTCTGTGCCTTTATCCCCCCATTTACATTTATCCCCTTGACTTCAGCTGTCCCCTCAAGAGAGACCTTCCTTCCTTCCTTCCTTCCTTCCTTCCTTCCTTCCTTCCTTCCTTCCTTCCTTCCTTCCTTCCTTCCTTTCTTTCTTTCTTTCTTTCTTTCTTTCTTTCTTTCTTTCTTTCTTTTTGACAGGCAGCATTAGAGAGAGAGACAGACAGACAGACAGAGAAAAAGGTCTTCCTTTTTCTGTTGGTTCACCCCCCAAGTGGCCACTACAGCCAGCGCATTGAGACCCGCATGCTGCGCCGATCCGAAGCCAGGAGCCAGGTGCTTCTTCCTGGTCTCCCGTGCAGGTGCAGGGCCCAAGGACCTAGGCCATCCTCCACTGCACTCCCAGGCCACAGCAGAGAGCTGGACTGGAAGAGGAGCAACCGGGACAGAATCCGGCGCCTCAACTGGCATCTGTAATTTCAACTCCAGTCTCTTACAAGCTCCATGTCCCCAAATCACTTCAAATTCATTAATTCTAATCTGAATTCATCATCCCCACCCCCTATCGCATTTTACTATTTTGCCAAATTACATCATTATGTCCAAGGTCACCTAGGTAACAGTTCATCTTGACTGTTTCTTCTTCTCTCAACTGATATTTTGTAGCTCTTGAGTCTTATTTTTCCCTCCTCCCTACTATCATTTGCACCCACTAATTCCGTCCTCTCCATTCCCATTGCCATGACCTAGTCCATGCTATTATTACCTCTTCCCTAGCATCCAGGATAATCTTCTTCCTGAGCACTACTCTGATGTTCAACATTCCAAACAAACTCTAAAAATACCTTATTGGCTGGCGCTGCGGCTCACTAGGCTAATCCTCCACCTGAGGTGCCGGCACCCCGGGTTCTAGTCCCAGTTGGGGTGCTGGATTCTGTCTTGGTTGCTCCTGTTCCAGTCCAGCTCTCCGCTGTGGCCTGGGAAGGCAGTGGAGGATGGCCCAAGTGCTTGGGCCCTGCACCCATATGGGAGACCAGGAAGAAGCACCTGGCTCCTGGCTTTGGATCGGCGTAGCGCGCCGGCCGTAGCAGCCATTTGGGGGGCGAACCAACAGAAAAGGAAGACCTGTCTGTCTGTCTCTCTCTCTCTCTCTATCAAACTCCGCCTGTCAAAAAACAAAAAAACAAACAAACAAAAAAAACCATACCTTATTGACCAAATCCCCTTTACCATAGCCCATACTATTTTCTTTGCCAGGAGTCAACCTTTTCCCTATTCCAAATTACCCAAATCCCATATATATCTCAAGTTCCAAATCAAACACCACTTTTTCCATAACTTTATGAACAACTCTTGTATTCCTAAAATATTTGCTTTGTCTTCCCATGTCTTTAAACTTCTGCACCTTTTGAGGTACATCTCAGTTTTTGTTATATTGTCTATTTTTTGTAATCTTCTCAAGTAGGTTTTTCCCAATAGTGCTTTCTATGGGAATATATATATATAGGTTTATTGTTGAGTAAATGACTCTAAGTTATTAAGAAGATTTTTAAACCCAACAGCATTTTCAATGGCTACTCATTTATTTTGACTTTCATAATTGGTTTGAGAACATTTTTCTTCCCTGACAACTGTTCTCAGCTGTGTCTGGAACCTGGTTGAACATGGCTGAGATTGTAGCTGTGTTTGGGATGTGCCGTACACTGGCTTTCATCATAGTTATGACATAGTTTCATGGCCCTGCACTGTAACTTACTGTCACTTCTCATTTCAGGGAGAGTAGAGAAGACAAGAGAAAGAAAAGCAACTTCAGGTAAGATTTTGTCCAATTAGTACTGGCTTTATAACCTGATTTTATTTCACCTTTTAAAATTTATAACTTATCATTCAAAAATTTACAAAAAAATCGTTTATGATTCCTTTAATTGATAAATATTAGTTAAGATAAACTGAGAAATTGGTTTTTTCACTTTCACATAAATCTAGTATGTCCTTTCCATTCTATGGTCTTTTCCAAAGGAAAAAGATGAAATGTTGTTAAGTGTTTCGTACCTATCTGTTAAAAGGTAAGCTTTGCAACCACCAATTTTGAAATATGGACATCAAGATTGTTGACAACCAGTTTATGTTTATAAATGTCAAAATATCTCAATTATTTTTCTTAAAACTCTATGAAATTGGGGACCAGCACTGTGGCGCACCAGGTTAATCCTCCGCCTGCAACCCCGGCATCCCATATGGGCGCCGGGTTCTAGTCCCGGTTGCTCCTCTTCCAGTCCAGCGCTCTGCTGTGGCCTGGGAAAGCAGTGGAGGATGGCCCAAGTTCTTGGGCCCCTGCACCTGCATGGGAGACCGGGAGGAAGCACCTGGCTCCTGGCTTCGAATCGGTGCAACTCCGGCTGTTGTGGCTACTTGGGGAGTGAACCAATGGAGGGAAGACCTTTCTCTCTGTCTCTCTCACACTGTCTGTAACTCTGCCTGTCAAATAAATAAATAAAATCTTTAAAAAAAAAACTTTATGTAATTGATATTTTTCAGGCAACATTAATGATTTAACTCAGAAGAATCCTTATGTTTTCAGGGAATTTTAGTAATGGTTACATTTCTAAGTTTTCTGTGTATCCAGAAGTAAATGACGCTTTGGCACAATGCTGTGCTGTTGCACATGGGAGGGGTCAGTATTTGTTAACAATAAATAATCTTTTACACTAGCATGTTTTCCTTTATTGGCTTTGGATTTTAAATCATTAAGATAACTTTTCCTTTACCAAGTATATCTTTGCATGAAGCAATCTTCCAATACACATTGTGCAAAGTTGCTTATAATCACACAGCAATTTGATTTGGTGGACGTACCTACACCCTTCCAAACCCCATCAATCCACTAATAATATGATATGTGGGATCTGCCAATATAAAGATACATCACTGTCAACACTGTCTTCTTTCACTTCAATGTTTGTCTGGTCAATGAAGTATTATATGTATTTCCAAACAGTCAGTATAGTGAATAAAAGGCAAAGATCTACCTTAATACATAACTGTATCAACAGCGTAAGTACCTGTTTCTTCCCCCTTCCTAACACTAACATCAGGTATGTGGGCATCTTAGGACCCATACAGTTCTTCAGTTAAATCTTATTGTTTGTGTTCTCTTTGTTGATCTTTTAAACCCTGATCAAGGCCGGCGCCGCGGCTCACTAGGCTAATCCTCCGCCTTGCGGCGCCGGCACACCGGGTTCTAGTCCCAGTCGGGGCGCCGGATTCTGTCCCGGTTGCCCCTCTTCCAGGCCAGCCCTCTGCTGTGGCCAGGGAGTGCAGTGGAGGATGGCCCAGGTGCTTGGGCCCTGCACCCCATGGGATACCAGGAAAAGCACCTGGCTCCTGGCTCCTGCCATCGGATCAGCGTGGTGCGCCGGCTGCAGCGCGCCGGCCGTGGCGGCCATTGGAGGGTGAACCAATGGCAAAGGAAGGAAGACCTTTCTCTCTGTCTCTCTCTGTCACTGTCCACTCTGCCTGTCAATAAACTAAAAAAAAAAGAACAGAAGATAACCCCTGATCAAGAATACAAAATTTAATTTAAATACAAATTTCATGTATTTGATATATATAGATTCAGGAGCATAGTGATACTTTTAACCCTACTCTCCCTCCTGCCAGATTTCCCACCTTCTTCCTCAACACTCTGCAGTTCTCATTATTTTTTACAAAGATCTATTTTTAGTTAACTTTATATTCATAAAATTAACTCTACATTAAGTGAAGAGTTCAACAAATAGTATGAAGAAAAAAACTGTTCCACAACAGTAGAGACAAGAGATGTTAAACATCATCACATCTCAAACTGTCAATTTCACTCCTGTATATTAACTTTTAGGTACTTTATTAGTTACCACAGATCATTGAGAACATATGGTATTTGTCTGTTAGGGACTGTCTTATTACACTAAGTATAACAGTTTTGAGTTGCATCCATTTTGTTGCAAATGACAGGATTTCATTAGTTTGTACCGCTGTGTAGTATTCCTTAATGTATATATACAATAATTTCTTTATCCAATCTTTAGTTGATGGACATATGAGTTTGTTCCATATTTTAGCTATTGTGAATTGATCTATAATAAACATGGGAATACAGATTATTCTTTCATATGCTGATTTCGTTTGAGAAAATTCCTTGGAATGGGATGGCTGGTTCATATGGTAGATCGATTTTCAGATTTCTGAGGTATCACCACATTATCTCAGGGTACCATTTTCCTCACATCCTCACCAGCATTTGTTGTTTGTTGATTTCTGTATGAAAGCCATTCTAACCAGGGTGATGTGAAACTTCACTGTGGTTTTGATTTGCATTTCCCTAATGGATAGTGAACCCAAGCTTTTTTTCTTGTGTGTATTGGCCATTTCAATTTCCCCCTTTGAAAAATGCCAGATCAATTCCTTTGCACATTTCTTTTTTTTCTTTTTTTTTTTTTTGACAGGCAGAGTGGACAGTGAGAGAGAGAGACAGAGAGAAAGGTCTTCCTTTGCCATTGGTTCACCCTCCAATGGCCACCACGGCCAGCGTGCCGCGGCCAGCGCACCGCGCTGATCCGAAGCCAGGAGCCAGGTGCTTCTCCTGGTCTCCCATAGGGTGCAGGGCCCAAGCACTTGGGCCATCCTCCACTGCACTCCCTGGCCATAGCGGAGAGCTGGCCTGGAAGAGGGGCAGCTGGGACAGAATCCGGTGCCCCGACCGGGACTAGAACCCGGTGTGCCGGCGCCGCAAGGTGGAGGATTAGCCTAGTGAGCCGCGGCGCCGGCCCCTTTGCACATTTCTTAACTGGATTGTTTGTTTTGTTGCCATTTAGTTTCTTGAGCTCTTTATAGATACTAGATATTAATCCTTTATCAATTTCATAGTTTGTGACTATTTTTCCCACTCTGTGATTGCCTTTTCACTTTTCTGATTGTTCTTTGCAGTACCGAAGCTTCTCAGCTTGATGCAACCCCATTTATCAATTTTGGCTTTGATTGCCTGCACTTCTGGGGTCTTTTCCAAGAAGTCTTTGCCTATGCCAGTGCCTTGCAGTTTCCCCAGTGTTCTCCAGAAATTCAATGGTATTAGGCCATAAATTTAGATCTTTGATCCATTTTGAGTGGATTATTGTGTAAAGTGTAAGGTAGGGATCTTGCTTCATACTTCTGCGTGCAGAGATCCAGTTTTCCCACCACCGTTTGTTGAAGGGACTGGGCTTGCTCCAGGGATTGATTTTAGCTACTTTGTCAAAGATAAATTGGTTGTAAATGCATCAGTTGATTTCTGGAGGTTCTATTCTATTCCATTGATCTACATATCTGTTGTAGTACCAGTACCAGGCTGTTTTGATTATAACTGCCTTACAGTAGTATATCTTGAAATCTGGTATTGTGATGATTCCAGCTTTTTTTGTTGTTGTATAAGATTGATCTAGCTATTCAGGGACTCTTGTGTTTCAAGATGAATTTTAGCATCATTTTTTTTCTATATCTGAGAAGAATGTCTTTGGTATTTTAATTGGGGTTGCATTGAATCTATAAATTGCTTTCAATAGCATGGACATAATGGGAGTCACTGTTGCACCTACTCCCCATGTAGGATCTCTATCCTTAATGTGTTGTACTATGCGAATTAATGGTAAAACTACTACTCAAACAGTACTCTATACTTTGTGTGTCTGTGTGGGTGCAGTCTGTTGAAATCTTTACTTAGTATATACTAAGTTGAGCTTCTGTATATAAAGATAATTGAAAATGAATCTTAATGAAGAATGGGATGCAAGAGGGAGTGGGAGATGGGATGGTTGCAGGTGGGAGGGAGATTATGGGGGGAAAGCCACTATAATTCAAATGTTGTACTTTGGAAATTTATATTTATAAAATAAAAATTGAAAAAAAAGTTCTTTCTCAGCCGTGGCATTGTCTATCTATACAGAGGCTTTTGATTTTTGTGTGTTAGTTTTATTTTTTTTAACATTTTTTGTCTTATAATTTAGAATTTTTATAAGATTTATTTATTTAAAAGGTAGAGTTACAGACAGACAGAGGGAGAGACAGAGAGAGAGGTCTTCCATCTGCTGATTCACTCCCCAAATGTCCGCTATGGCCAGAGCTGGGTCAATCCAAAGCCAGGAGGCAGGAGCTTCTTCTGGGTCTCCCATGCTGATGCAGAGATCCAAACACTTGGGCAATCTTCCACTGCTTTTATAGGCCATAGCAAAGAGCTGGATTGGAAGTGGAGCAGCCGGGACTCGAACCAATGCTCATATGGGATGCCGGCACTACAAATGGAGGCTTAGCCCACTATGCCACAGCACCGACCCCTGTGTGTTAATTTTATATCCTGCCACTTTACCGAACTCTTTTACGAGTCCCAATAATCTCTTAGTAAAGTCTTTTGGATCCCCTATATATAAAATTGTGTCATCCTCAAATAGGGATAATTTGGCTTCTCCTTTCCAATTTATATCCCTTTGATTTCTTTTTCTTGCCTAATGGTTCTGTCCCAAACCAGGACTGTATTGAATAGCAGGTGTGAAAGTGGGCATCCTTGTCTGTTTCTGGATCTTAATGACAATGCTTCCAACTTTTTCCCATTCAATAAGGTGCTGGCTGTAGGTTTGTGATGATTGCCTTGATTGTCTTGAGCAACGTTCCTTCTACAGCCAATTTGCTTAAGATTTTCATTATGAAGGGAAGTTGTATTTTATTGAATGTTTTCTGTGCATCAATTGAGATAATACTATGTGATGAAGGTAGCACAAAAGTTTAGAGATAAAGGCGGGACATAAT